AGACAAAGACACAGACACAGACACAGACGCAGACGCAGACAAAGACACAGACGCAGACGCAGACGCAGACGCACGCATGCACGCACACATGTATGCACACACACACACACACACACACGCACGTGCGCAGGATAGATTCATACACCCAGACAGACCTTAGGTGTGCGCGGGCGCTTTGTCGCTGCCACGGAGGCGTCCGAGGCAGCCCTGGCTGCAGCTGTGGCTGCCGGCGCAACTTCTCGGGCGGCGGCGGAGCTGGCGGCGCGGTGCTCGGCTGAGGTGGTGGCGCAGGCAACAAGTAGAAGTTGCGGAAGCGGAGTTTGGCGCAACGGTAGCGAGAACTTGCTGTTAGTCCAAATTTTGCGTTCTCCACGTTGGTTTGATCCGTTGAAGCGCGCGCAGTTGGCGGTTAAGGTTCAGCTGAAAGCCCCCTGCAGGAGGGCTTTATTTTGGGACTGGATGTGGAGCGCGTGGCCGAGGAAGCTGGTCAAGAGGCCAGTGCGCCGACAAGAGTTTTCGACGTGTTCCGTGGGACTGCCGTGTTCGCTTGATGTTGTGGAAGTATCGTGCGCGGGATTCTGAATATCATTGCGTTCTTGACAGAACGTACGGGCGACTCACCTGGTGACAAAGTGCTCAGCTGTGGAGGTGTTTTCTATATACATTCCGTTGGCTAACCATTGGGCTGAGGAGTTGTACCCCTCAACATTGCTTTGGCTTTCCTCTTAAACTTAACCAACCAAAAATGGGTACCGACTCGGACAAAAAAGGGACTGACCCATCATTTCGGCAAAATGTTCAGCCGCTGCTTTGCCGAGCGGAGGCTGCGCGCAGCGCCCGGGCTGGCGGACTCTTGCCCGGGCAAGCAGCGCGCCTGGCGGCAGAGGCGGCCGCTTCTGCGGTTTTGGCACCTCGGAGCTTGGATGTTCATAGTGCCTTTTCCTCAGCAGACCCCCCCCAAAAAGAAAGAAGGAAGTAAGTAAATCCTTTCATTCCGCTTTAAAGCCACAAAAGTTGGGCACCCTCAAAAACACACCCCCGTATGGCCAGTTTGAGAGGGCGCGGAAAGGGGGCTCATGTTTTGCCTCAGAAACGAGGGGACTTCTCAACATGTCCTCAAGGGTAACCGCATTATGTTGGGTCTCGTGCAGGACTTTAGGAACAATTGTGGGCGTCTCTTTGTGGCGGCAGGCATGGTGGACCAGAGTGCAAGTCGCATATGTTCCCATCGTTCATTCCAACAGTGAGTTCTTGCATGAATAATTCTCACCAGTGACAGTGTTCTGCACGCTCCCTCTTTGAGGATGCGTGGAACACAGACAAGCCGGCCGACGACGTGGTGCTAGATGCAGGCGGGGTGACCAAACCCCCCAAACCTCGCCCTTTGTGCAGGGGCCTTTTGCGCGTTGCGCTTTGCGAAATTTGCTTTGAGGCCGGCTGGCTGGAAAGATAGGAGCAGCTGCGGGCATGACTCTGAAGGAGGCTGCAGAGACTGCGGCTGCGTCAGCTGCCAAGGCTTCTTGGAACATGCGCGGGAGTGCGACATCACAATGTCTGCAGTTCCAAGATCAGAGCCGCAAGCTGCATTTGTGACAGGACATGTTGCCTGACACTTTGGCCCAACAGCAAGCCTGCATTGAGTGTCTTGCGCAGGCCTCAGCTGTGCTGACTTTGGCCTCCGGAGCCTCGACGGAGATCGCCGCCCAAGAAGCGGGCAAGGTGGCTGCGCGGGCTGGCTCGAATGCCGGCATGAGCCTGGAGGAGGCGCGACAGGGTTTGGTGTGTCCCAGCCATCCCCCTTGGTTTTCTTGGTTCAGCGGGGTTCCATTTAGCCCACTAAGAAGTCAGACTTTTAGCGGAGGATCTGAGGGTAATTAGTGCAGTGTTGACAGGCTGGACATTGGGAATTTTCTGCGCAAGCTAAGCGATGGCATTGACGGTGTTTTTGCCCCGAGCGCAGCTCACTGCAGGCGGCGGAGGCTGCCGCCCTCGCCTCCGGCCGCGTCGCCGCGGCCGCGGCCGCGGATGGCGAAAAGGCTGAGGCGGCAGCGCTGGCGGCGTTGCGGCAGGGAGTGGTGGCAGGCGTGCGGGCAGTTTGTCTGTAAGCGATGGGACCCCATGTGGCTGATCTCGCCGTCTGTCGCCAGGAGTCCAGCCTGAGAGGGCCACACCGACTGCCGCAGCAGTGGCTGCAAAGGCAGGTGGCCTGCTCGCCCTACGTTCTCCCTGAAGGGCGAACCTGCAAGATGAAAAGCGGTTTTGTTTGTCAGAGGCGTATTTCGCAACTTCGCACTTGCAGTCCACAATGGATTGAAAACGATCTTGAAAAGGCTTTGGATCAGGTCCGTGAGCGCAGATGTGGACAGGTTTTCAAGGAACAAATGCACCAGGCGCCCATTTTTTTCACCGCCAGATTGCGAGCGAAATGGCCGAGTTGCAGAATGAGAATGTGGAGAAGGCTGCACAGAGGGCACAAGCAGTGGCAACGGCCAGGCCCCGACCACACAATTCACAGCACATGCTCCTGGTTGTCAATGCTGAACTTAATGTTGCTGCAAGGCCAGATAGCTGATTTGATGCTTTTCAACCCTGTGCAGGATACATTTGGATGCCCTCCTGTCGAAGAAGCGGCCATTCAACGCCGCTGCCGAGCAATCGAGCAGGGCCGCTGCGGAAGTTGTGCGCCTGACGCAGGACCTTGAATTGGACATGAGTCTCTTTAGTGTTTGGTTTCATGTCCCCCGGGCGACAGCTTCTTTGGAAGATCATTTGTTGTTTCAGAGGCATTTGGGCCAAACTCCCATCTGCCGATGGTCGGATGGACCATGCTCATTTCTTTCTTGTTGGGAGACTCCTTTGGTTCCGGTTTTGCGTCGTTCGTGGAATTGCACACGGAGATTTCAGAAAGACGACCATCGCCTGTCGACGTCCATCTCTGCTGAGCAAAGGGTAATGTTCACATGATTGAGTTAAGCCCTGTTGTAGCATGCGCAGTCTATTGCTTGATTCACTTGGCATTTGTAAATCGCAGAAGTGTGGCCAGGACGTGGGTCAAGCAATAGCCACCACCATTGGGAAGATGGCTGCGAAGGATGCCAAGGGCGACAAATCACAGGAAGCCGGTCGTGCGGCAGTGAGAGCTGGCCTTGCTGCTGGTTTGCTGCCAGGCGCGCTCGCCGCCAGCATAGTGTCTTTGATGAGGCAAATCGCAACGAATGAACAATTTAGGTGGTTTCCCAGGTATCAAACACATCCATTTGCTTGCTGAAGGACAGCAGGGGCATGTCCATCTGTAGCTGCCCAGCCGAAGGCCAAGCCACAGAGGTGGGCGTCCACTTGGCAATCCAGATGCGCACAAGGCCGGCGCTCGCCGTATCCTGAGCGTTGTCTCATCTGCGCCGGGGTTTTTGCCAGGACGGAGATGCCGAAGCCCATGGAGATTGCTGACAGCGCCAAAGAGCTGGCAGCGGCTGCTGGGCTGGCACCTTGTCAGGCCAGTGGGAGAGGTTGCGGGGAGCTGGGTTTCAGCAATGCTGAGGGCATAGGTGGCAAAGCTGGAACAAATCCGCTCTTCACTGTAATTCTATGTTTGGAGGTGTCCCTCATAGTATTCGCTTACTTACAGTATCTTACAGTTTACATCTTCGCCAGACTGATAAAGCCCCAGCTGAATGAGGAAGAGACACAAAAGCATTATAAATTATAAAGATGAAGTCATGGGACGGATAAAAACCCAGAGAAACAAAGAGATGGCAGATACTTGTAGAGAAAGAAGCGTGGGACATGTGTAGCATATTTGACCAATCACTGTTATTTTATTGCATGAATATTTGGCTTGGTTGGGTGCTTCTGGATCGTGTTTGCGTGTGCGTTGTGTGCGTGTGCGTGGTGAGTGTGTGTGTGTGTGTGTGTTGCGGTTGCGATTGCGGTTGCGGGTGTGGTTGTGTGGTTGTGTATGTGGTTGTGTGTGTGTGTGTCACTGCAAATCACGAGCAGGCTGCCAGCACCGCCACAGCAGCAGCTTGTGCTCACGCTGCTCGTGTGGCATTGGCGGCAGGGAAGCCGCTTGAGGAGGCGGCTGCTGAGGTTGCGCTCGTTGGCAGCAAGGCCAGGACCCGAGCGACGTGACTGATATGATATGACGCACTGACGAGGTCACTGATGTCAACTTACGAACTCATGAACTCATCAGCTACAATTTTGTGTCGGCCGCAGGTGGGCGAGCAGCTGCAGCTCTCGGCCCTGCGCAGCGCCGAGCTGGCCGTGGGCGCAGCGGGCCTTGCCGTGGCGGAGCGCGAGCTGGGGGCGGCCCAGGCGTTGGACGAGGAGCTGCTGGTCTCGGCGGCGCAGCGGGCGGCCGAGGCGGCGGAGGCAGTGGCCGAAGTGGAGGCGAAGCGGGCCGTGGCGCGGTCGGTGGGCCATGCGAGGGCGCTGGTGGCAGAAAGGCTCGGCCGGGACTCGGTGGCAGCAGCAGCTCGAGCGGCTGCCAAGGTGATGCAAGCGCACGCGCACGTTTACGAGGTGCAGTCTCTGGCGCTTTCGGTGGCTGCTGACGCCTCTGCCGCACTAGCACTTCAGGACATTTGCTCCATTGAAGAGACAGCTTCGCAGGCGTAGGGATTATCTAAATTTGCCCATTGCTTGTTGTGTGTGTTGTGTTGTGTTGTGTTGTGTTGTGTTGTGTTGTGTTGTGTTGTGTTGTGTTGTGTTGTGTTGTGTTGTGTTGTGTTGTGTTGTGTTGTGTTGTGTTGTGTTGTGTTGTGTTGTGTTGTGTTGTGTTGTGTTGTGTTGTGTTGTGTTGTGTTGTGTTGTGTTGTGTTGTGTTGTGTTGTTGTTGTTGTTGTTGTTGTTGTTGTTGTTGTTGTGTTGTGTGTTGTGTTGTTGTTGTGTTGTGTTGTGTTGTGTTGTGTTGTGTTGTGTTGTGTTGTGTTGTGTTGTGTTGTGTTGTGTTGTGTTGTGTTGTGTTGTGTTGTGTTGTGTTGTGTTGTGTTGTGTTGTGTTGTGTTGTGTTGTGTTGTGTGTGAGTGTGAGTGTGAGTGTGAGTGTGAGTGTGAGTGTGTGTGTGTGTGTGTGTTTGTTGGAAGGTATGACAGAAGTGCCTCATGTTGTTCAGGCAGCTGCTGCAGCTGCTCCTGTAGCTCGCGACTTGGGCTTCCCAGAGGAAAGGGTCTGGGAGTGTGCCAGTCTGAGTGCTGGAAGGGCTGCTGGCCACTATGCGCTCGCTGCGGGCAATTCCTTGGAGGATGCAGCCGTGATGGCTGGCCAGGCCGCGTCAAAGCAGGCGCAATCTCAGGGCGTGTCTGCTGGATTGGGCGCCACGGCGGGCGTCACCATCGCAGCAAGGTTCGCCGCAGAGCATGGCTTTGGAATGAAGCACATTCCCCGTGACCAGACCTTTCAACAGGTGGGCAACATGGCTGTTGCTACCGGGCGTGCAGTGGGCATGTACCCTGCTGTGGCTGGTGGAGTGGCGGCGGCAGTGATTGCGCGCGCTGCGGGCCAGGAAGCGCTGGAAACCGGCATGTCCATGGAAGAGGCGACCAAAGAGGCCAGCAATGCCGCCAGGAATGCCTGGCTCGGTGCCTTGCTGACTCCGGATCGTGCGAGCCACCATGCGGCGGTTTGCGCAGGCATCTTTGCAGGCAAGGTCGCCCGGAGCCAATCTTGCAGCCTTGAGGAAATCGCCGCAGCCAGCGGCCAGGCTGCAGCTCGCGCCGCCTTGGATGCCAACCAAGGCTTCAGCCAAGCTGGGAGGGCCGCAGCTCTGGCTGCCGGCGCGGTGGTGTCGGAGGTGCTGTGCACGACTGGCAGGCCCGAGGCAGCTGAAGCAGCGGCGCAGGTCATGGTCGTGGCGTCGGCTCAGGGCATGAATCCCAAGGCAAGCGGGCGTAGCTGTGTAGCTGTGTAGCAAGACATGGCGTAACACGTCCGAAGGCTGCCGCGGAGCTTGCAGCCTTTGCTGCGGGCAGTTTGGCAGCAGCGCTGAGCCTCTCCGCACGGCAGACGCGGGAGACGGCCGCCTGGAAGGCAGCGGAGGCTCGAGCAAACGCATCTTGTCATGTTAGACAACGCTTTTGACACGTCATGAACTATATATTCAGTATCAGGGAGGTACACAGCGACAGATTCCACGAGCATTGTCAATTCCCAGCGTCGCAGGCTGCGGACAGCTTCCTGAAGAGCGGCAGCCTTCCACAGGCGACGGATGTGACATGTTGCCGCGCTTCCTTTTCTTACGCTCGGCTTCCTGCCCGATTAATAAAGGCATTTTTGTTGTTTTGTTGCATTCTGCAAGATAAGACAAATGGCTGTGTAGCTGTGTGCTCCACAGCGAGTGCGTTCAGCAAAAAGCTCCTTGGCCTCACTCTCTCGGCGCTACAATTGGAACTAGGTTCAAGGGACAAAGTGTGCGATTGATTGCAAGCAAGGGTCACAAAGCCGAACAACGGGTCCCATAAAGAAGGGTGTTTGCGGGGTGGGGGTGGGGGTGGAGGCGGCAGCTCCCCCCCAGAAGAAAACAAGAACGCACGGAAAGTGCGCCAGCGCAGGCGCAAGGATTACAAAGCCGAATAAGGGCCCTGTCAGGAACCGGGGGCCTAGCTCCAATACAGAGAAACACTTGAAAACATTGCTGGAGAAACCGAGCGGCGCAGAAAAACAAATGCAGACACTAATGGAGAAAAACAAGGATTTGCGCCAAATGAGAGCGACACATAAAGACACGGAACAAGTGCGCGGTTCAAACAAGGATCACAAAGCCCGAACACTGGCTATTTTCCCTTCTCCCATCCGCAGCTCCCCGCCCCCCCTTTGTTTTTGCAGCAACCGCCCTTACTGTTCCCCCCCGCCCCCAAACCCGCTACTCCTCAACCCCCACCCCCCGCCTGCTCGAACAATAGCCCTCCCTCCCCCGCCCCAAACAAACAGCCCCACCCCCACTCAATAGTAATACCCACCCCCCTCCCAAAAAAAGAAACCTCCTTCCCCCCATTCTTGTTCGAACAATACCCCCCCTCCCACAACACGTAATGAACGGTTTCAAGAATACTTGCCCAAGATGCAGCGGGTTGAAGGTCATCCTCGATCTGTTTCTTTCAGCGCGAGGTGGAGATCGCTGCTGCTGTGGCAGGCCGTGCAGCAGGCGAGGCAGCGCTGGGCGCAGGCTGCTCCCCCAAGGAGGCCGCAAGGGAGGCGCGGGGGTAGGAAATGGTAGGAGCCCAACACAAAATGGTGATTGAACGAGCTGGAATGCGTAGAATTCAGCTCAAACATTTCGGCTAGAAGAGCTCGTAACTGAGGCCCGCGCGGCTGCAGCTGCTTGGGCCGAGGCCGCTGGGGGCAATGCAGCCCTGCTGGGCACCTCTGCTGCCCAAGTGCTGATAGCAGCTCCGCGGCTGCGCTTGAGGTCCATGCAATGTCTAGTTCACACAGGGGCGTTTGTTACATGTTGTTTCAGCTTTTGGCAGAAATGCGCAAGTCAGGAGTACCCGCTGAGTCACAACACCAAGCCGCGGGACAAACAGCTGGCTCTTGAGCCAGACGAAACGCGCCTGGGCATCAGGGCAGTGGAGGCAGCTCGCGCCTCGTATGAGCCCGACCTCAGCTGGGCAGAGCCATCCAAGAGGCGGGGATTCTCAGCTCACCATATCCGATGCGCAGCAAGCCATGCCAGGAGTCCTCGACGCCACTCTGAGTCGGAGAGGAAGTTTGGCAGTGAATCAGGGGGTGAGCAGGATGAGGAGGATCCAATGACGCACAAACCTGCCTGGATGAGGAAGGACTTAGACAAGGAGCTCCAAGAGATTCAGGCGATTGAAGCAAACGCAGTTGCCATCCGCAAAGGTCTGCAGAGCTTGAAGGAAGACAATGAGGGAGCAGATGTTGATGCGGAAGCTGCTGCGCTTATGCTGGAATTAAAAGGCGGGATGCGATGTGCTATACATTGATGCCCTTCTTCAAAGGCTCTTGAGTCAGATACGAGACACGCTGCTAGCAGCCAGGTCGCATGCCACAGCCGGGGCAAGCAGCAAGGCGCTTGCTTTGGGTGGTGATCAAACGCAGGTTCTTTTCAAGACGAGTCGCTTGTGGACAATCGAGATGGCATTTCAAAACGCCTTGCCTTCCGTATAGGACTCGCCGCGACCCCCGTACTCAAAACTGCTTTTTTTCACAAAAAGAAAAATAGTTGCAAAGAAAGACACCTCATGGAAAGCGTTTCGCCTTGTCACAATGTCGTTGGGCTGTTTCGGCAATCATTGGGCAACATGCAACTGCTCGCAGCCGCTCGGGCCTCGGGCTGCAGCAGTTGTGCGACGCGCGACTTGATAGCTGCTGTTGAGCCGACAAGACCAAGCTTGTTAGGTAACCACAAGGCCCGACTTGATAGCTGAAAGCCGATATTGCAATGAGAGAAAAACGAGAATGGATCATAATTTGCCCTACCTTCCTCACATTTGTTTTCTCCATTGTTCTCGCAAAATCCAAACTCCCCGAGTATGATTCTTCAAAGGTTAGGGAAGCCAACTTGCCTTTGCTGACCGGCACGAAAAGCAAGGCCCACCCACATGCATGTTTCTTAACCTTTGTTCTTCTGACAAATGCTTCTGCATGTTGTAGCGCATTGCGTTCAGGGTGGGGCTTGCCGACGGGTACATGCTCAAAGTACCCACAATCAGAGTTAGTTTCCTCATTGTTTTTCTCTGAAAAGCACCTGCGCGTTGCTTTCCCTGCTCGGAACGAAGCTTCCCGTGTGCGCAGGCTTTGCGTTCCATTGGCCCAACCAGGTTTGATGAAGCACTTTCATGCTGTGTGCCATTGGGATTTGCTCGCAGGCTTGGCCTTGCACAGAGCTTCTCATGCTGCATTCCGCTGGGATTTGCATGTTCTCACGCTTCTTTTCGCAGCGTTTTGCGACCTCGCGAGGCAGGTCCTTGTGTTGTTTGCGGCGCCAAAAACACAGCCATGCTGCGTTCCATGAGAGAAGATTGTGGGTGGGGTTTTCTGGGTACTTGGGCATGCTGAGTTCCATGCGGGGTAGACATTTGTCTGGGTGCACCTTCGGGGTTTCCCTGTAGCTTCTTTTGGCGTTGCAAATCAAATAATCACTTCCAGGCTAAAAAGAACAAACCTAAAAGGGCAGTCAAACAATGAAAAGGGATTCTATGCAAGCTGAATTCGAGAAGATCAGGCGTCGTGCACGTCGTTGGCATGCTGTTTGTGCAGGCACAGCTCTGGTGGTCTTGGGGACAACGAAGCCATTGCCCTTCTCGCCCGCATCTCAAACGCATGATATGGCTGGACCCCCCTACCCCCCAGCTTCCCTTCTAAACTGGAAGCAAAAGCCACATTGATCCGAATGTGGCCATGAAATGGTATGGGCATCAGAGTGTGACATGAGCATCTCAAGATCATGTTGAATTCATGCCAGCTTCAACTCCCAGAGCAGCCACTACGTCAGGGATTCTTCACCTGCGCAATTTCTGTCCTTTTCAGAGGCCGAACTTCACGGTGGCCAATTGCCAGCCTGGCTCGCTGAGGAGCTTCGTGCGAATCAAATGATTGCTTGAGCAAGTTTGTATTGCCTTCGCCCGGTATGCACAACCCATGTGTGTCGTTTTTGGGGGGTACCCTTTTGTGTTGTTTTAGGGAAATCAAAAGGGAAACCACCCAACCTTAAAACAGACCCACGCGCATGTTGTATTTTTTGGTGTCACACCTGCAGTCAGTGCAGTCACCTACCGAGCGCAGGAACCCGCGCGAGAAAGTCAGAGGCGCTGGCTCGGGGCCCCGTTTTGGGGATCAGCGAGAGCAGTTTCTGCCAGGCCGAGCTCGGGGACGGACAGGCCGTGGCATGTGGAGGTGATGAGGATGAGACAGGCACTTGGAGAGTTGATCAAGGACCGAGGCACTCATTTTCGGGTTGTTATATTGTATCTTGAGCCTAGTTGCTAGAGCACGACAAGAGACGTCAAGTGATGTGAGTTTGTGCCAGGATGACTGAGGATGTGGAGGCTGACAGGCACACCGGCGTGATGCGCCACTGAATATTTGCGCAGCGCAGCCAGAGACGAGAAGGACCTCAGAGCTCTTCAAGAAGGAGATAAAGGATGCCTAGACTGGATTTTGGCAGGTCGGCCAACTGCTTCGCAAGAACCTGATGTGCCCGCCGCTCTCATAGCTTGGATGCTTACATATGCGCGGCACTACAACTTGTGCCAGAATGCAGAGCAAAGGCGTCGTCCAACTAAATGTGCCAATGTCCTGTACCTTGATGCCATCTCTGCTAGCATCAATTTGACAATCAGGAAACAAATTCTATGTCAAAACAATTCAAGTAACTCACGCACGCCCGTACGATTTATATACCCGTTGTGAAGCATTCGCTGAACTGTGTTCACAATACATTAGATATAATATGTCACATTCATTGAACACCACAGTTAAGAAAGTACGTGTGTATGGTATGATTGATTGTTAAACCGAATAGTTGTATTGCCAGGTACTGGTATCATACATAGAATAGTTCGGACTACATGCATGCATGGAAATCGTGATACTAAAATAGGTTTGCACACACACATCATTGTAAATCATTGTGCATTGAACAGCATATCGACATTGCTAATGCACCTATATCGCCAACAAACAGAAACATATAAATGCACACTCAGTATTTTCTTAGACATATCCAATATATATGCTATTATGTGAATCATTCCAGAGGTGAACTTATATCGTAAAGTTATTAATATATATATATGTACACCTTTATGGTTCATATTGGATTAAGCTGTGCTGGCGCATTCATATGTATGTATTATATACATGTACACATGCTATCGCCCCTAAGGAAATAGACAACACAACAAACAACACAACAAGATAGGTGCTTACAGGTTCCAATATGGATTTGCTGCATTTGCATGCCATTCCAGACAAGGACGTGATGCTTTTGCAGCATATCAATCCCTTTTCTTGGATTTGCCGATGGGGACAGCTTTTTGCAGTTAGTCCGTTAAGTCGATGCATCATAGAGGCAGTAGAATCAGCAATGCTAAACCAACACGAAGCTAATATTGAACTGATGCCATGGCTAGTCTGAAGCAACGTGCTACTAGCATCTCGTGCTGAAGCATTTCTCAACTATTACTAGCCTAGACTGGAAATACAAAAGTACACCAATACCAAACCAATTCTAAACTAGAAAAGCAATGCTCAAACTATACTGACACTAAAATGTTTCTCCCTCCTGACAGTTTTACGTTTTTTGTCTGTTCCCCGGGAAAGGTAAAACAAAAGCAAAGCCGTAACAGGCTCAAGCCTCGGAACAAGAGAAAGTGAAACAGCACAAAGTAACACTTGCTGCCCTTTTGGTGGCCCTCTTTTACTTCGCCAGGAAAAGTAAAACAGCATACAAGCAAGTTAAAGCTTCTGGCCCCACGAATAGAAAGAAGTAAAACTGTCATATAGAGCGCCAGTTTTACCGTATTACAACTACTCAGAGCAAAGTACAACAGTAAACTCATGAGACTCCTGGACCCATGATAAGCAAGAAGTAAAACCCCAAAGCCCTTTCATATTTTCCTTCAGGCAGTTTACCTTGTGTGTGTACTTTTTTTCAAACAGTGCCAAAAGAAGAGCTTGCTTTTTTACTTCATGCTGTTTCACCTTTTACTTTTCAGGGCCGATGTTTGTTACTTGCTTATACTGGGGAGCATGGACGACGCAAAAGTGCCCGAAAGGATCCAAGTCAGTTTTTCGGACGAGGGTGCTATCACGTATCTATGTTCCAGGTCCGAGGTCACCTCCGTCCCATGGTCATGGTACCCTGGTTAGGGTTGGCTCAGGGTTGGTTGAGGGTTTGAGAGTTGGTTAGTTCGAGTGTAGGCTGGGTTTGGAGTGAGCTGGGTGTAGACAACCCTGCCTAAACTTTAGAGCCTCCGGCTCAGTCCGCCGACATTGTCCTCTCCCTTTTCTCCTTCTCTGCCTTGTCTGCCTTGTGTGTTCTGTTGTCCGGAATGTATGTATGTAATGTATGTAATGTATGTATGCATGCATGCATGTATGTATGTATGTATGCATGCATGTATGTATGTATGTAACCTATGTATGCATGTATGTATGTATGTATGTATGTCTGTATGTATGTATGTATGTATGCATGTATGTATGTATGTATGTATGTATGTATGTAATGTATGCATGCATGCATGTATGTATGTATGTATGTATGTAATGTATGTATGTATGTATGTATGTATGTATGTATGTATGTATGTATGTATGTAATGTATGTAGTGTATGTATGTATGTATGTATGTAATGTAATGTAATGTAATGTGATGTGATGTGATGTGATGTATGTATGTATGTATGTATGTATGTATGTATGTATGTATGTATGTATGTATGTATGTATGTATGTATGTATGTAATGTTTGTATGTATGTGTGTATGTATCTATGTATGTATGTATGTATCTATGTATGTATGTATGTATG